TGACATGTCTTAGACGAACACCCAAGAATAAGCTTAGCTCCTCTCAGCATCATGGACTCTACTGGCGCATTAAAAGAAAGCCCTGAAAGAAATTTTCGTTTTTCCTTTAAATAGTAAATTTTAAATTTCTTGAGTATATGGTAAAGCCCTCCACAAAGAAGAATGCCTGAAGAATGCTTGAAGTTATTTGTGGTTTTTGTCATGGTAACGATGTATGTGTGCATACCAAGTTTCATCTTCATGCGTGCTAGTAAGTTCGAAAATTGAAGAACTTGTTTTAAAGAAAAGTGTCCGAGGTTCTGTTTTTGATTATTATAATATGTTGGTTGGTTTTCAAATACGTATTCCGTGTTTCGCTTTTATGGCTCTTACAATACAGTGACACCTGTATACCCATTATATTGTATTGCCTCATGTTTATTTGTTGTTGTTTAGACAAAAACAATAAACATTATTTACAAACTAGCCTATGCTCTTCAGGTAATAGTCCATTATATTATATATATTTTTTACTTACGAGAGTTGAAGAAGAAGATGAACAAAACTCAGCCCCATACATGTACAAGTACTACTCTACTTATAGGCCATTTACTCATTTGTTGTAACATGACAGTTGACATGAACTTGATATAGATTTTATTAACCCTTGGCACGCATGCGCAGCGAGGTTTACAGTAGTCATTCTGTCTCTCTGAGTATCGACACTTATTCTGGCATTACAGGCTACAAGGTGGGCAATGAGCGATAGCAACGGTGTCAGAACTACGCGAACCTGAAATACAATTAGGCGATTTTCCTGCGATGACTGCGTTCGAGAGATATGCCGTGAAAACTAAGCGAAAAAGTCAATATGCATAGTTGCACTGGTTTACCTTGAACTGATCAGCCTACTCCGCATACCTTGGAGGCACAAGATATTACAACAGAGGGCGTGTATCGACTCCCGCATGCAATCAACTAGTGTTCGTCACACAAAGGATACAACCTACTTAAAGGTCAGAAATTTCGAACGGTTTTCTCTGAAACTGTCCGTTCCGAAGCTAGAGCGCGAAAGAGCCAATATGCAAATACGCAATGGACGGGACGGCTTACCACGGTCTGATCGATCCGCGTTCTCTGCGTACCTCGGAGGCACCAGAAGATGCAATGCAGGGCGTGTATCGCCTCTCGCATGCTATCTAGTAGTGTAGTTAGCCCGTGTCAGACTGCGCGAGCTGGCAAGAGACCACGAGTAACAGCTAAAACTAAACCCAGCCCATCAATTAGTGGTACCCCGCATGCGTTTACTTACGCGTGCGCGTCACAATGCGCCGAGGGTTTGCACTTCAGTGCTTTTCACTATTATTTGTGATTTTTGGCGAGCGAAGCGACCCTACTGTGTCGTTTCAATTTGGTAATTTGTTTGTTTATTACTATCGGTTAAGGACATAATGTTCTACGTTACTCAACACCCATAACTCAAAAATAAACAATATAATATAGTAATTTTGTAAGAAAGTAGATCTCTGTCACCCAAAGAGACTTATTTGTTTCTTTTCTTTCAACAACAGTGAATAGCCTCAGGCAAAGCATTATAATAGGCACACATGTGTCAGTGTACAAGTCAAAATTGGTAAGAGTTATGTGAACAAAACCTTTTGTATACATCACTAAGTACGGTAGTATATAGGGATGGGCATTGTACCTAGCATCATAGATGTATGGGGCTATGATAGGGAGTTTTGTTCATCATCATGTTCTTCTTCTTCTTCAACCAGCATAACTCAAAAACCGAAAGAGATAAAGCCATGCAATTTTGTAGGAATGTACATATCCATAACCACATGTGCAGTCATACTTTTTTCTTTTGTAACAATGTTGTTTACTGTAAACAACAACAAAATCGCCCCAGCAATAGATTTTAATGGGCATACTACATGAGTCAGTGTAACTCACAATTGGTAAGAGCTATGTGAACGAAAGTTTTTATCACTATAGGGATGGGCTGTACCTAGCATCATATATAGATGTATGGGGCTATGATAAGGAGTTTTGTTCATCTTCTTCTTCTTCCTCTTCAGATTCAACACCCAAACCTAAAAAACGATACAACATACAGTAATTAAATTTTGTAAGAATGTAGATATCCGTCACCCGAAGAGACGGGTCATACTTATTTGTTTGTCAACAACAACAAATTGCCCCAGGCGATACAGGAACGAAACTTTGTAGACATAGTTTATTCAATCACCAACATCAAATATACGTGTTTGTAAACAACAACAAGTAGCCTCATGCACTTTTCTTTAATCTTCACTCCTCAAACTTTCCAATTGTAGCACGTATAGAGATGAAAGCATGCGTATTACATCATTTCCATGACAACTGCATGGTTCTATGACGACAACATATTGTTCAAATAGCCTCAGGCACTTCTCGTCAAACTTGCTAACGGTAGCACGCATGGAGATGAAACTTGGTACTCATGCGTATTACATCATTCCATGACGACCACAGGCATTTTTTATAGGGGGCTTGCCCCCTTTCACAGAGATATATACGTACGTAGTTGTATATAAAAATGAGTGGAGAGAAGTAAATTAAAAATCCTGCGAATTTAAAAAAGAGGCATATAGGGATGGTATAAAAGTGAAAGGGAGACAAGGTAGAGATTGGATACATGAGGCATGGTTAATGAACTGATTTGAGCATGCCGACACCCCCAACCCCATCACACAATCCCTATATTGTTGCCTAGGTGAAGTATTAAACATTCACCATTACAATACTCCAAACTTATAATTAAAAATGTCATGCTACTGAGTAACCAAAACCATTACAGAGTCGTAGTCGAGTTGGAATGTGGCTGTATAAATGTTACTAAAAACAACAGGGACTCGGTGAAAGAATGCTTGCTGTTAGTAACCTTTAGCCCTTATATAATGCCACATTCCCTATAAGGGTAGCACACCAGGCAACAATATGGGTTGTGTGATGGGGTTGGGGGTGTCAGTGTGCTCATTAAGGTTATGTCACGACCATTGATCCGCGTGGGCCGGTTGAGTAAGAACTTTTTCTCGCTAAAAATAAAACCTACTGGACTGATTTTAGCGGGGCTAAGCACATAGAAGTCGACTCCGATGCCAAATAAATCACCCTACGGAAGCTTTTTTCTTAGCGGTCCAGTTCTGTCAGTTATGAAATTGTGAAATTCGAGTTCCATGTGAAATAGCATGTTTTTATTATGCTAGCTGATGTTTTTGAGACATCTCAAACCGGATCTTCCGTAGGACGCTAGAGCCTGCGGAGGAGTACCTCTCACACGAAAATGACGGCACTGGAGCTGCTCCTAACTGAGATTTTTGGCGAGAAGTTTGATAAGATGTGAACCAGCCTACAGCAGCGGTAGTGTCAGCTCTGTCGCTGGTTTTTATTGTGTGTACAAAACGACGTTAGTATACAGCGTGTGTATAAAAGAAGCGGTTCTGGTGTGGTTAAAACGCTGGTAATAAACACGTTTATGTAACATGTAGGCACGCCCACGTGAGTATCCCGTAACCTTAACCATGCTTCATGTATCCCATCCCTCCCTATCTTGTCTCCCTTTCATCCCTATAATCCTTTTTTTTTTATTCGCAGGATTGTAATGTGTCCACCCCAACATCAAATCACAAGTATACATGTTAACAAATATCATCAGGCACATTTCTTTAAAATTACTTTTTGAGTCCTCGAACTCGCTAACAATAACACGCGGGATATGAAACTTGCTACACATGCGTATTACATCGTTTCCATGACGACTACATGTTTAACTACGTGTTTGTAACCAACATAATTAGCCCAAGGCACTTTTTAAAAAATTACATCTCCACTCCTCGAAGTTGTTAACGGTAACATGCATTGAGATCAAACTTGGCAGGCATTTTTTGAACAACAACAAATAGCATTTTTTGAACAACAACAAATAGTCTCTGGCACTACTTCACTCCTCCGACTTGCTAACAGTAGCTCTCGAGAAGATGATACTTTGTATGCATGCCTATTACATCCTTTCTGTGATGACCACCTGTATTAAACAACAACTGGCATTTTCTGTAGCTATTATTATTTTTATAGGCGATACATATACAATGATTGGAGACAAGTAAATTGAATATCCTATGAATTTAAGAAAGAAGCATATTATAGGGATGGTATAAAAACAAAGGGAGACAAGATGGTGATGGGATGCATGAAGCATTGTTTACAGACATATTGGAGCACGCTCACATTCCCGACCCATCACCCAATCCCTTTATTGTTGCGTAGGTGAAGCATTAACCATTGCAATAATATGTCTAGACCTATAGCTTGACAAATGTCATGCTACTGATTAACCAACACTGTTATTTAGTCCAAATTAAGTTTAAGAATGGCACACCTGGCAAATATATATATATAGGGGTTGTGTGATGGGGTCGGGGGTGTCAGCGTGCTCAAATCTGTTTGTTTATGCTTCATGTATCCCATCTCTATCTCGTCTCCCTTTTTCATGCTATCCCTATATGCCTCTTTCATACTATCCCTATATGCCCCTTTGAACTTACTAAATGTTAAAACTACATTCAAGAATCGTTATGAATATAGGGACTGTCATATGATGTGATGAAGAAGCTTATAAGGCAACTGAGTTCAAAACAACACCACGTAGCTTTGTAGGTGCTGGGGGACCGTAAAGGTATGAAGGACCTGCAACGTTGACTGCTCTATCTTCTTTGTTCAAAAGCGAGCGTGGTTATCCTTGCTTCCTGGTAGTGTGCTTGTCTTTAAAACCAAAAGGCACTCAAAGTGACCTTTGCCTGCGATTTATTTTTCGTGTAGGTAATATGATGCATGCTCAAAATCCTCGCAGTGTATAACACTACCATTAACTAACATTATCTTGTAATTGGTTTCTATATAAAAGCGTTTTATTCTAACAGTAATCTATTTTTATGTTGTGTTAGCTATGAAAAGTTGACAACATTTTGTGTATGTAGGTGAAAGAACTGGTTATCAACAAAGATCCTGACCTGCTAGACAGCTTCCTTGATGTATGTACACCATATAGGGTGACCACAATTCACATAATGTTTTCTGTGGGCCCTTTGGATTGGAGGGTTATAATAGTTTCGATGTGAAAAGGAGAGAATGGCCTTAGTGTAGACTTTTAATTGGCACTTTCAACATAATATGGCGGCTGAACAATCCCAGATTTTGGTACAATAGTGTACTTTGATATTACACTCAGCCATAATATGCACTCTACTTTACTACGTACTGTATGCTTTTCATGCAGGAAGTTATTGCTTTTCAGCAAGATACTTCTCCAGAAGTGCGGAAGTTTGTCGTTCAGTTCATGCAGGATGCTTGGTATGTCGCCTGATTTTTAAAGATAATTGCTTACATGTTGATAGCCCGTGTTGGAGCGCCTTTAAGGAATGTTGATAGCCTGTGTTGGAGTGCCGTTGAGGAATGTTTTGGATGTAACTCATGGAGGTGATTTAAACAAAGTTAGCGCACTTATTCAAATTCTCCATTGCTATGCATAGCTGATTGCTGAAAAACCATGATGACCTCCATGCCATTTTTTTTACTAATGTCTCCCATTGTTTTTGCCATTGTAGTAGAAATACAACAGAGACGAAATGACTGATGACATTGTCACCCTCACAACTAAAGTCCGTTCGTGTTCACGCACAGAACGGGCTCCGTTCAAATGAAAAACACTAAAGTGCAAACCCTCGGCGATCTGCCCATGCGCAGTACCGCTAATTGTCGGCTGGGCTATTAGTAGTATGTGTTTACTCGTGGTCTCCCGCTAGTAGCTCGCACAGAGTCTGACACGGGCTAGCTGCAGTAGTAGATAGCATGCGGGAGTCGATACACGCCCTTCGTTGTGACTTCTTGCCTTCCAGATACACAGAGCAAGCGGACCCGGTCGAGGTGCAAATTAGCATATTGGCTTGTTCACTTGGTTTTCACACCATAACTTTAGAACACAGTTGTGTTATGAAAATCACCTTTTTATAAATCAAGCCAGTGTTGCACTGAACCCGTTACTATCGCTCTTTGGCCGATTTCTTGCACGTGGTGGCAGAAACCGTGGTAACAGACAGACTGACAGATGGACAGACACACTTACGAACCAAGTACTGTAACCCTTGCTGCACATGCCCGCTGAGGTTTAACAATCGACCCACAACCTCCATAGATTTTAAGCTTCTAATCTCTCCCTGGACTAAACCAAACTCGTGCTACCACACTCTGAGCACTGTTTTTTTTCTAGATCGCTTTGGTGACACTACTCTGCACGTCAACTTGTGGTATGCTCGTTATGGTGCATTTTGCGTGAACAGTAGTACTTCCAGGATCAGGGTAGACATGAATGGAATTTAGTCTAGAATGGCAAAAAAACGAAGAATGTGGTTTTGTTGTTATTTTTGAGATACTGGTATTGCTTTTTAAGCCTCAGTCAGGTACTCTCTCTATGGAATGTAGTAAACCATTCAAGAATCATCCAATTTTACCTATAATAATTATGTCATGAAGTGTAGAGTCCACAGGTGGATGCAAAAAACCAACAGGACGAAAGAACAATGGCCAGAAAAGGATATATATACGTACTAGTATAGTACATACGTGTGCAAAGCGTTACTGTGAATTTTGTAATGCCATGTGCATGTCCAGAGTACATGTAGTAGCTTGGCACCTTTCAAGCTATGTTTTTTTGCTAAACCCAATGCTGACAAAGTGGCAAAAGTGGGTGTGTGGGTGTGTCTTAGTGTAAGGCATAAATGCTACTCAGGATGTCGGTAAAACCCTTGCTTACATATCAACTAAAAAGCTCACCTAGATAGAGATTAGTTATTAATGAGAAGAGGGCTTGAACAATAAAGGCTTACTAAGGTAGGACTCGCGTACGTAATACGTTTGAGCTAGTGCACTATGGCTATGATATATAAGAGACATGGTGGCATAAACTATATGACATAAAGTATGCAAAGGGTTTAAAAATAGTGTGAGATATAAAATAGAAAGGCAGTAGCACACAACTTACACGAAATGTTTGTGGTGGGCAGCATCATTAGAGAGGTCAGCTGGCATTATCTACAAACAATGGATGCCTTAACCAGGCAATGGTTGCTTTTACCACCAGTAAACTCCACCAACTCACCCATACTTCATACCCACCGAGTACTACACTCCTTGCAAAGTAAACAAACTTTAGTATCGACATATGTTATAAGCAGTGTTGTCAGGTTATTGCATGTCAAGAGAATGAGGGTAACCCTACAATAAACATGTCTCTTTCCATTAGATACTTGCTTTTTGCCCCACTTAGAGTATTACGAACCTTGTATGTTATGTGTACTTGCACGCTCCAACTTATTTTTATGGTTGCAGCTGAGTAGAAATGGGCAGTATGGCGAGATACCTCACTACATGTTTGGAATTCAATTGTTCCAAGGAGCAATTTTTAGGCTTTTTAATGCCTGATTAATATATTTATGTCTTCGGGTCCTATACATTTCTATATAAGCGGGAAATATACGCATTAATATGGACATTGTGTGTTTTAATTTATCGTTTACACAGTAAAACTGATGATGGACTTCTTGTGAGGGTTATCCCAATGCTGTCTTACATGATTGAAGATTTAAATAGTAGTGTTGTCAAGAGAGTTATGACTGCATTTATGCAGCTCTACATGATGGCCTTTGTGGTAAGGAATGTATGGACATATATTCTTTTGTGAGACTTGATATACGGAATAGTAGCAAGTGTGATACACACTGCCATGTCCATTTCAAAATGCTTCCCTGTGTTGCCAGCCCATCTTAAAAGCACTATGTTGCAACCCTCGATGACAAGTAACATGCATGATTATGGGCACAGTATACACGTTGATGTTTAAAAAATGGGAGTATTCGGAGGCATGACGCCTGGACAATTTTATCGCATCATGCGTGCCGTTACCGTCATTTTGCGTCACAAAACTGTTTTCGAATTCTGTGACGCAAGGCTAACTGCTTTGCTAGAATTCTGGGGTAGCCACACCCTCTCGAACTAAACGTCATCCTACGTAGGTTGCGGCACGCATCACGTGAGAAATACTCCCATTTGTAATAATAACATACGGAACATGTGCGCATGAAGGCCTGGTTTCGAGGGAAGTTGACCACGTGCCAGTGGCACTGAAGAGAGATGTTTGGTGGTTGCTAGAGCAGGTTGAAAATGAACCCAGATTACATCCTCTACACATTCTTCAATGTCGTGGATAGTGTATGTCCACATAATTGTGATGAATGTGTTTGTGCCCAAGGCTTCCCCAAGATGTGGAGTTGGCCTCTGTTGTTGTTGACATTGGTGTTTTTAAAACGCTCAGTAGCTGCAAAATGTTCAGTGGAAGAGGCCAAGTGGGACACTTTTACGACCAATGAAGTTATACAAAATAGCCAAAAATCAGCCCATTTGGCACCATCCCACCTATTGCATCACTTACTTTTCGTACTTGCAGTTGCATCATCCGTGTACCATGCCTGTTTCACGCTTTTATGGATTAGTGGAAGGAAGCCAACAGCACACATGGACATATGTAGCCAGTGGATCCCCTTGGGTTGCTTCTTCTTATGTTGCCATCCACGAACAGATTTTCTGGCTGTAGATAGTTAAATGAATTTTTGTGACCACCAGTACAGCATTATCTTGGTTGTATGCTTCATGCATAATTATACTCATCCTGAAGTTTGCCCTGAGGAAAGCTGAAGAGAGCCTCTGGCCTCTTGAATGTCAACTCTAGTGACAGAGAGGACCAATTATCCGTCGAGAAACTTCGTCATTCCAATGGGACGAACTCCAGGATTTTTATGCAATGTACAATCAAGCGGCATGCAACAGGTGCGGAGAACCCATCTGGATTGACGTGTTCTGTGCACAACCTCTGGGCAAGACGAGCAAGAGAGTGGCAGAGGTAGAATGAAAAGAACAGAGCCTTCTCTATCCACGAGTGGTGGAAATCTTGCATCCACTGTAGGGCTTTGACTTTACGTGACACTAGGAGAGGACACATAAAGCTGTGTATTGGGGTGCTTAGTAGAAGACTCTAGCAGCCATGAATCCCTCGAATCCATCCCATCTGCTTGGTTACCCGCCTCCTTCTAGCCTCTGCACTGACCGCTGTAGATTGGGAGTTTCGACATGTTTCTCGTTAGCTTGGCAAGCAAGTAGTACATGAACGCTTTCCTTTGACACAAGCGCAGTTCTAGCATTGTCCACTACCGTTGCAGTGGCAGCAACTGGACGAAAACTTCGACATTCAGTCTTTTTCACCCATCATCAAATGTAGAGTCGAGAATGTCAGGGATATGATATTTGACATGCACTTTCTTTGTAAGTCCTCTTTTGCTTGGTGTTGTTTTGGCGTTGTATCTGTATATTGTAGGACGCAATAGGGTTTGACCTTGTTTCGGCTATCAGCCCCCGCAGCATATGCATACGTTAAGGTAGGTGTACTAAAGTTGTGACAATTTACGTTCGCAGATATCGCTCCTGTCAAGAGTTTGACAGACTTATCCGAGGGATCAGGGCTCTCCAGTTTTCCTGGATGTTGACCAGGTTTACTGTGAACCATCACCCATTGGAAGGTTGGATATGATCTTTTGTACCCTGGCTTGGCCTCAGAACCATGGAAAGTTGCTGTGGTGTTTTAGTGGAGTAGCCTAGGGAGGTGTGAAAAGTAGCGGGTAAAATGACTGTGGGTGTGAAAAGTAGCGGGTAATATTACAAGTAAATTAAAAATCCTTCCAATTTAAAAAGAAAGGGAGACAAGATATGGATGGGATACATGAAGCATGGTTAATGAACAGATTTGAGTACGCTGACACCCAAACCCCATCACACAATCCCTATATTGTTGCCTGGTGTGCTACTCTTATAGGGAATGTGGCATTATATAAGGGCTAGAGGTTACTACTGTTGTTTTAGTAACATTTCTACTTTTATACTGCCACGTACCTTTAATAGAACTCCATTTGTACACTATAATGGTGGTGTTCAGCATGACTTTTTAGTATTATAAGTTCTGAGTATTGTGATGATGAGTGTTTATTTCTTCACCTAGGCCACAATATAGGGATTGAGTGACGGGGTTGGGAATGTCAGCGTACTCAATCTGTTCGTTATCCATGCTTCATGTATCCCATCCCTATCTTGTCTCCCTTTCTTTTTATACCATCCCTATATGCCTCTTTTTTTAAATTCATGGCTGCAATGGTGGTTCCTGCAGCATGTTACGCTATTTTATTACAAGGCATGTGCGTTTCTCATAGAACTTGGCTTGCGAAGCACAATAGTCGCGAGATTGAGAACTATGTCTATGGCTAGGTATAGGATCTACGTATATCTACGCGAAAGGTAAAATGTGAGAGGTACATAAGAATAACCCCTGCACAGCTCCCTCGGAGATGCTGTTTAAAGCTGTGAAATACCTTCTGGTGGATGAGGGATTCGAAATTACTGTTTATCCCTGTCTAAAAGTTCTGTTTCTGTAGCAGCATCCTTTCTTTCTTGGAGTCAAACAAACAATGCCACATTCACAAATCATTCACCACCGAGATTGTGTCAGTTCAATGCTCCAAAGGTTTACGCAAGAGACTATTCTTGAATGAGAACTTATTGCATACAGATGTCAGGACATAATATGATTATTTGCTAGAAGCTCTAGGTCTTTTGGGAAGGGTAACGTTCTCATCCTCTATATTTTGAGTGCCTTGCTGCCGCCTTTAACAGTTCCTACACAGAATTTGTTTAGTCACTCAGAGGGCTTGGGTGTTTGTGTAGAACTCTTGGACTGTCGGAATTAGTTCCAGGAGTGATTTCACTGCAAATAATAGTATGTAAGCTTAACGTACAGTATGGATCATTATGCACGTCAAACAACAGTGTTTAAGAATAATAATAATACTCAGGTGGCTGCGATAGCACTAGGGCCATAGACCACGCACCCAGAGCAACGGGCGGAACCGTTAAGAAACGAACATACACCATATGAACATGAGGTGTCTGTCTCTCCTCCCAGACACCTCAACTCACCCCTTCCACCAGCGAAACCCTACAGCTCCCCAGACGCAATCTGAGACTGGGTCTGTTGTACGCTGGGATTATCGCCGTATAACCTAACCTTTCTTAGCTCCCAAACATCCAGAATAAAACCTTTAACAAGGCGAAGCAAAGAACCAAATTTATCCTCCCACAGCTCACTACCCAATATAAAGGATGCTTTCCTGAAACTATCCAGCGACTGGAAATGCTCGGCCCATCATCCCAAGGCTTCTCCTGCAGGGCAACTAAGATATTGCTCCTAGGACTACTATATGCTGGACACTCCCACAACACATGACTCACACTTTCACACTCATCATCGCACAACAGGCATTCCTTCATACCCTCCCTCCCCCTATGCTGACCCAGCTCCTCATTTAGCCCATCCTTGCCCGACCTCAACTTAAACATTAATCTAGACCCAGCATCACTTTTCCCATGCAAGTACCTTTTGAACTCTACCACCTTGTTAAATGTCTTATACAATAACAGCTTTACTTTGCTCTTTAGCCCCTCTTCAAACTTTCTAATCCCCCTCGCATTGATACTGTCCCCTACTATATACAAAAGAGCCTTCATGGAGAAATCTCCATTTGCAACCACTCTGCCTTGTCAAGACCTAATGACGAAATAGATCATCAATGACCTTAGTCCAGCCCTTCCTCTGCCAGCCTCTCCGTCGCCTAAACTTTCATTCCTTATTAAAAAGCTTCTTCGGATACCTATTGCCTAGCAATGCCGCTAACTTATACTACCACTTCAACTTATTCTTATCCCTACGCCCTTGTAACGTACCAAGCCCCATATCCCCCCTAACGGCTTCATTACACGAACACCTAAGAATGCGCTTAGCTCATCCCAGCATCACGCAGCTGCCTGAGTCTTATTGGCTTCCCACACCTCACTCCCATACCCTAAAGTTGGCCTAACCACCGCCAGCAACAACAACCTGTGAGCACTCAAATTAATATCCCTATTACTAATTACACTATGCAACTTATTAACCTTCCTTCTACCGTTGTCTAACACATTCTTGATATGTACATCCCATGCAGCAGTACTAGTAAAACGAAAAGCACTAAAGTGCAAACTCTCGGCAAACTGCGAATGCGCGGTATCGCTAATTGATGGGTTGGGCTATAATAGTATGCGTTTACTCGTGGTCTCCCGCTAGTAGCTCACTTAGAGTCTGACACGGGCTAGCTACAGCATGCGGGAGTTGATACACGTTGTTTGTTGCGCGACTTCTTGTGCCTTCTAAATCCACAGAACAAGTGGACCCGGTCGATGTAAGCCTCTGCTAATTAGCATATTGGCTTGTTCACTTGGTTTTCAGGCCATAACTTCTGAACGTGGCACTTTTACGAAAATTGGGCATTTTAAAAATGAAGCCAGTGTACCGCTGAACATTTGGTGTCGCTATTTTACCTGTTTGTTGCGCGTGGTGTCAGAAAACGTTGTAACAGATGGACAGACGGACAGAAGGACAGACCAAGTACTGCAACCCTCGCAGCGCATGAGGGCTGAGGGTTAATCAACACCAAAGTATGTGTGTTTAGATACTCTAGGCAAACATGCTCACACCCACATTTCCATGCACCATCCACCGACTCCCTAGTGAACACCATCACTGCACTCTTACTCACATTAGCCTTAAGCCTCTATTTCCTCCCTCAACAAAAATACGGAAAACAAAATTGGAATAAGCTGCATCCCTTAGCTATCCCCTCAAATGCCTCTGACCGTTCCCTATCCAACTCTACATCACTCTTTGAATAGTTACTCGTACATCTTCTTTATGACCCTCCACATCTTCCCTCATACCCCAATTTCCCACAACCTAAACCACAGGCCGTTACGCCAAACACTATCGTACGTCTTCTGCACATCTCGAAAGAATGCATATGTCTCCTTCCCCTCCTTTAGTCTACCCTGCACGAGTTCATTCAGCGTAAAAATATCAACACAACCCCTTCCAACCCTAAAACCAGCCTAGCCCTCATGCAATGCCTTGCCCTCGTCCAGATGTTTCACGAACCTATTGTTCAATACCTTACAAAAGACCTTCCCAAACACACTCAGAAGAGTGATGCCCGTATAATTCCCAGGATCCTCCTTATCTCCCTTCTTAAACAGGTTAACTATGAGGCACGGTGGTGGCACAAACTTTTCACGCCAAATTACTGTAAACAACTGTTTGTCTATCCCATCCCTGACCCAACTTACTTCAGAAACTCCACCACAAACCCATCACTACCACCTGTCTTGTTATTCTTCAACTTTCTAACACACAATGCAATCTCCTCCAAATCTATTTCCCTGTCCAATACATTTTCCAACAAAACTCACACACTTTCTTATCCACTTCCTCCTTCCAACAATCATCAAAAGCTGTATCAACACTACAAGTGCCCAACTGCTGTTAGAACCTCTCATGAATAATTCCCTTTGATGTTGAGTGTAGTAATGAAGTGTCTGCCAGGTATCTAAGTACTAAGTCTCTAAGTTGCAAGTTAGATCACTGTGAAGAATTTAGATCACTGATGTCTCACAAAGGTCAAATCCATAATAATCGAGGAGTGGGAAGGCCCATTTGCTCCTAGCTCGAGACTGCTGCCGAGCTCATCATACAAGCATCGCAGCGCTCAGCCCGCGTCGCTTGGACGATTAGTTGTTGGTCGCTAGTCAGGCGTTTCCCGGTAGAGGGTTCGTTCCATGTATATAGCTGATTTCTACGCCTGACTAGCGACAAACAACAAATCGTCCAGATCAAGCGACGCGGACTGAGCGCTCCAGTGGCAGTGTCTTGCTCCGGCGAGGCTTGCAGGATATATCTGTCCAGTTTCTGCGATGCTTTTATGATGAACGCGTCCTGCTCGGCGGCAGTCTTGAAGCTATGAGCAAATGGGCCTACGCCGTTTCCCAGCCTAAATTCTGGCGGGCAGGGCCAACTGGGTAACGGGTCTTGCACACTATTGAAAAGACTATGCGAAACTGCGCTCTCCGTGCCGCGGTTCTAAGCCGGTTAGACCACTGAACTCGTCTCCTTGGTTTGAAAACCCTTGTGATTCGGGATGAGAATGATGCAATAGTGATCTCGGCTCCGCCTAGGTCACTATTGCGTCATTCTCGCCCCTCCTCCTCTGGTTATTCAAACCTCGTAGTGACTCGTTCCAGTGATCTAACCTATACATAATGCCTCTTTCACACCTCTATCTTGCGCTTTGTACTAGTCACTGACACCCCAGCACTATTCCTCAAAGCTGTAATCTCCCTCCTCTTACCGTTTGTCCCTTTCCTATTACCTTCAAAATCTGAATTTGCTCTTTCCACTACATCATTCCAAACCTCATGCTTCTTTTGAACAACTAAATTCTTCACCTCCCTACGCAGTTTACTATAATCCTCAACTGACCCTGAAGAATTTTCTTGTAAGCCTCCCTTCTATGCTGCTTAATCTCGTCATCCCACCACCTGACTGCCCTGCCACACACTACTACCTTCTCTCCTACTTCAGCCGTTGCCACTTTTTTACAACTTGCTCCCACTCCTCTACAACTGCACTGACTAACCCACTTCCACTAATCCCCTCACTCACTTTCTCCCTGATGCTCTCTGAAAAGATTCAACCTCCGCTTCAAGGCCTCACTATACTTTGCTCTAACCCCCTCATCCGAAAATCTGTCTACACGCCACTTCCTTATTGTCCGCTTCTGCCTTTTACAACACTTCATAACCCGGCCCAACTCCAGCCAAACTAGGAAATGATCCGAGGCAGCAATATCAGTTATATTAACCTGTACATCACCTGATTCCCTCATCAACTGCACATCCGTAACTATATAATCTATCACTGATTTCTGCTGCAGGCTCGGCCTTACTCGTCCATTCAGGCTCTGACACTAACTTCCTACCATTACATATCACCAGCTACACCTCATTCAAGAATGAAATCAGCCTATTTCCACTGGCATTCTCCTCCCCAAACGTCCCAATGACATCATCAACATCAGTAGATCTTCCCACCCTCACATTAAAATCACATTTTGCATGAATCCAAGCAAATCCTCCTTCAATATGATGTAACTATCCTCAATAACAGAAGCACAAGCACTATCCATAGGTATGTAAATGCAACTCCCTCTCCAACCTCGAACCTTCATCCACATGTTTTCCTCATACCTGACTTTACTTACAAATTCTCCCTCATCTACCAAGCACTCCAGAACCAAGAACCTAACCCCTCCTTCCCCTCTACGTCTACTCTGATTCTCACGTGGCTTTCCAAACCATCTATAGCCATCAACAGCAACTGTCTTTCCCTCCCTCTCTCCTGACCAGCTCCTACATCAATATTGAGCCTTTGCAAAAGCTCCCCTACTTCTCTCTGTTTACGCTCACTACAAAGGCCTGAAAAATTCCATGTGGAGACTCTTAGCCTTCTGTCCTTTTTGCCTTGGCCACTCATCCTCGTTCATCGAAATAGAAATTACAAAGCAACAACAAACAGCCTCAGGCAATTAAGTGCTGTTTTTCCTATAATTCGCTTATGCTGGGTCTAACAATGAAACTTTGTATCCTTATGTACTTTGGTGGTGAAATAAACATGTAGATGACGACAAACGGTCTGAGGCAATAAATACATGTAACTTTTTGTATGGGCATTATGCGCCAATGCCGTAAAAAAGGAAAGGAGAAAGTATATATAAGAATTAAGATAGTAATGAATATAGTGATGCCATAAAAAGCAAGGAGACAAGACAGGGATGACCTAGTGTATGTGATGCAGTAGTACAATGGGATGATTGTTACATCTTCAAGCAGACTTTGTCTGCTCGTGTAAATTACAAGCCCTATGTTGTCGCCACTTTTCTCACAACATCAATTTGTTCAGTGTGGACAATGGTAAAGGGATTCTCTGGAGGGCCACGAACAGAGCATTGTGAAACTCATCGTTTGTTGAGTGAACATGGAAGTCTTAGAATGCACACAATGCAGTGACGACCAAAAGCCGAGTAGCTGTCTGAGAGGGCAATACCTGTGCTTTACGCGCTTAGGAAATGAGTCATTCTATGAGGGAGCACAGTCATGCTTCGCGAAAATATAGGGCTTGTGTGGAGGAAAATTTACACTAGCAGTTTGAAGATGTAACCATTGTCCCATTCTTCTAACCATCGTCCCATTGTACTATTGCGTCGCATATACTAGGTCATCCCTGTCTTGTCTCCTTGCTTTTTATGACATCCCTATATTCCACACTTGGTTAATTCGAAGATATTTTTTGCTTGTATCTCCACAATAGTTGAGAGATTTCATAAGCCATGCAAAGGCGAAATACCAAACATACATTCCTGAATAGAAATATTTGGCTTTGTACCCATAAACTAATGGCAAAGTCACTACAAAGATAGCACAGTAACAAGGAGATTTTAACCGTTGTCTAACACCTTTCCCCCTCAGAACAAATCACCAAGTACAAGTAAGCAAATAACAGATGATACCACAGCAGTAATCTCTCCTCTTATAAAGTGCAACCAGTCACAGGCCTTCTACAAAAATAAGGCTTCTAAGGGTGCGGAGGCCTGCATGCTGTTAAAAGTATGGTTACATGCTGGCTACCTCACCTTTACGCTTGCCAAGGAGTGCTCTCGTTCTGTAGTTTCGTCAAAACGGATAATGTACACCAAGTCCCTATAATGACTGGCTATGGGAGACTACATCTAGCAAAAAGTGACTGTCTTTCTCGTTCATACCATGCACTGTTTCTGGACGTGGCTGTACTCGGGACTTTGGAAACGTGGTATTACTAGCTCCTGGCGTGCTTGCTCTTGCTCAGGTAGTAGATAGCAGCGTCTTCTAGGATACACCTCACCACGGGCCTTTCACGTGACGTATACACGAAATACCCTAGTGAGGTGTGCTACTACTATTACTAATCCTAATCCGTACCTGGTTACTAGCATGCTCTCACTGGGTCGCTATATTCACTGTACTTCCGGTCTGTCTATTTAAGGCCTATGGGGGTGAAGAATACTCTTTCACAGTGTTTGAGCCTTCAATGTAGTAAATACTTTTTGCCGTGTGATTGAGGGGGTGCATTCTCCTTCCATTTTTTAATCAACTCTCACCATCGCATGTGTTATATCAGCCGCATTAACATGCATTAGTAATTGCCGAGAGAGAGCTCTCCTATGGTGTACAGTTTCTTCTTCACTCCTCAAAGTAGTTAACGGTAGCACGCATGGATGTGAAAGTTGGTACGCATGCATCTTACATCGTTTCCATGACGACCACATATTGTTTGAACAACAACAAATAGCGGGTTCTTCAAACTTGCCAACAGTAACACGAATGGAGATAAAGCTTGGTATGCATGCACGTTACATCATTTCCATTGCGACCACATGTTTGTAAACCACAACAGCTATTTTTTCCATAAATATTTTTATTGGGGGCTTGCCCCTTTTTGCAGAGATATTATACGTAGCAGTTCATAAACATGAGTGGAGATTGCAAATTTATAAAAGAGGCACATACGGAAGGGATCATATGCTATAAAAAGAAAAAGAGACAAGATAGGGATGGGATACATGAAGTGTGGTTAACGAACAGACGTGTGCACCCTGACACCCCCGACCCCATCACACAATCCTATAGATTGTTACCTAGGTGACATTCACCATTACAATAGTCTAGCTTAAAAATACAACTACTTAGTAACCAACACCGTTGTAGTGTCCAAATGGAGTTTAAGAGTGACGCACCCCTCTCTGACAGGCTGTATAGAACGGACGCTGTTTGAAAATGTAAGCAATTCCCAGGATTCTTGTTCACTGTCTGGAAGTCACGGACTTTGGTTCGTTTGCTCAGCCTCCACGCTCCACGACTTGGTCGTTCCCAAAGGCTGCGGGTTTCTGTGGACCGCCCCCTTTCCCGCTAAATTTGAGGACCTTGGAGCACACAAGTGTGGAAAAAGTGAAGCAGCTTATGACTAACGCTTGAGTAAGTTGATGCATCAGCAGAGGGCATAGCAGAGCTTGGGGACAGCGAGGAGTGTGTGATAGTCGACCATGAGTCGTCTTTCTTATCGAAAGGCACATTCACATGTGCGCATGTGTAGATTTATTTGCACAAAGAATTCTCACATAATGTGAATTCTTGTATATTCTAGCATATTTGGCTCAGGCCTACATCTAATCAGCATGGTGTCTCTGCTTGGATCCTTTCATTCCCCAGAAATTCTTTCTACTGGCAGAGTTAACGTTTTTTGGGAAGACACTGGTAAAACAAACCAGATTCATCAACATTGTAAAGCTGGGAGTGTCCAAACTGCTATACATGCGCACGCATTATGGAAGTAGCTACTGTAGGACCACATTTAATTGCATTTGCGTATTTTCCGTTAAAATTGCTGCAAGACTTTTTGCTATCGGTACGTTGCCAGAGTTTCTACACCATGCTCTCTGTTTTTGCCCCGGCACACTTCCTAGTACGTGTACCTGATTGATCTCGCATTAATACTCTGTATATTAATAGCTCCTGCCCCTCATCTTGGTAAATGACAACACCTCTTTGAAAACCACATATTTTTACCAGGTCTATTATACTTGTACTATAGAAACCACTGTGCTTGATCTCTATCACATACAAACTTCAAAATTTTCCTTATAACACTGACATTTGCTGGAGTAAAGGTTTTTATGTTGTTTTCAACTGCTCCAGTCTTTGCTTATTTTTTTACATTGCAGTACACTGTGAAGTCAAAAAGCAGTCCGGAAGACATAAAGGAGATGTGGAAGGTAATGTTTGTATGCCATTAAGCATTATATGTTACCCGTATTCTGTAGGCACTTCATGAAACGAAGTTGAGAGCTGTTGATATGCTTGAAGCTGAAAATGATGGGTAATTACCATTTGTGTGCTTATGTATGTGTAATTACAGTGCTGCCACCAAGAGGAGATAATAATGTCAGAGTTTAATTTATTTTCACTAATGAAATTTGCTCCTCAATGTCCACCTGCTGATCATTAACCATCCCCACGCATGCGCAGTGAGGCTTACGGTACTTGATGTGTAAGTCCATCTGTGCTTCTGTCCGCACTTCTTATTCTCCCATTTCGCGCAATGACATGCAAAAAGAAGAGCACTAGCGAATCGGGTGTGAAAAGTTAATCAAAATAAAAATGCTTTTTTAAACGGGCAGTACATTAAGCGCAGCAAGCTAATCGGAGCCATAACCACGACCGCTGCTACCCACAAAAATGTCACAGGAGCGCCACGCTCGCGTATGCTCGAGTTCTTTAATGCTCATGCTTAGCTGCCACAGCCAACCACGAGTGAACATGCCACAAGCAGCGCTGAGAAAATATCTCTACGTTCTGCACAGCCTGGGCTTACCTCCCGAGAAGCAATAGGTCCATTTGTCTTTCCCAAACCACGGCGCCTTCGCGAACGCTCCAGTCCACCATGATGCACACGAATTCAAAAGTGAGCCCGCCAAAACGTCTCTTTATGCAACCTCACTCAAACCGGTTTTACTGGGCTACAAACCAGTTATATCATGCCGGTTTTGGGTGGCTGGTGGTCATATGCCCTCGTGCAGAAATGCAATAAGAACCCTCGGGCACTAATTGCATTCCTACACTCTGGCATATACACCCTGACGGGCATAATAATAACTAATACATACCACAACTACTGTACGTGTTTCCGAAAATTCTCTGAGAAGTATCCTCGGGGCTGCTCACTCTGGGTAATCAACACATCCCTTCTGGTATTTGCGATAACACCCTTCATAGTAGATGCGCTACAACAAAAACTTGTAGCCCAGTAGGCACTCAGATCAAAGCCTCCGACAAGGCTCTTAGTTCCGTGTACCCCCCTCCCCCCCCCGCTGTGTGAAATGTTAACATTGTTGATAATGCGCCCTGCGGTCTTGCATGAATATCGTTAATATTTGTTTTAACGGCATTTAATTAGTGTACTAGCAATTAATATCATTGTACGTATAATAGCTGCGGTAGGGCTAATGAACCATTCTGAACTACGTAAATGGTAACGGCGAGTTGTTCGATGCTGATCTTTAAAGTTATCTACATCATGTTGTCACAGTACATAAGCGGACTGAGCGAATCACACTCAGAGCTTGAAGCGGAGTGAGTTCTGCTACCGCCGCTACCCGCGAAATGCCACGAGAACGCTACACTCCCGTATGCTCGAGATTAGCAAGTACTTGGTTGTTGCAGCCAGGCTGCTACAGCCTAACACGAGCTACGCTACGAGTGGTGCTGAGAAAATGTCTCCACGGCCGCGCAGCCTCACTCTAGCCTGGGCTTACCTCCCCGGAAGCAATATGTCCTGACGCTGAAGTCGTACTCGTTTGATATGTCTTTCCCATGTCACAATGCCTTCGTGAACCCTTTCGTCCGCTATGATGCACACGCATTCAAAAGTGAAACTGCCAAAAACACCTTTTTTATAACAATGATGAAACCGGTTTTACTGGGCTACAAACCAGCCGGTTGCGGTTGGCTTGTGGTTATAATTTGCATATAGGCTTCCAGCCTGTTATAACTAGTCATCCTCTGGGTAATGAACACATACTTCTGGTATTAGATAGTAGATATACTATAACTAACTGAGTGTGGCGTCATATTATGTGAGGTTGCATATAAGTGCACAAGTATTGTTTTGCAATTGTTACCTGGCGAAGTTAGAGTACTGTGTAGGATTGCAATTATCCTGTGTCGAAGCTTTAAACTGTTAGGCCAAAAGACACAGAAGTGTGACAATGTGTCACTCATGTGCAGCATGAAGTGGCTGCTAATGACAATGGTGAGGGTTGAACCATAAGCATGCCCTATTTTACTTAGCTATTTGGGCTCACCAACGTGATACCTACGTATTATTTGCAATTATGTGCGATATTAATAGTTGGCTGGCCTTAATTTGCAGTTCGCGTGTTTAACGGGCGCACCCAATGGAATGCATAGAAAGGCCGCCTAACTTGTATGGAGTGAGTTTGTAAGTGTTTTCTACACGTGTCGCGTGAGATTTCATCTGTCTCATCCTTTCATAGAAGCGTATACCGACACTCTGGTATGTGTATGGCGCTATGATAGGGAGTTGTTGTTGTTTATAACATGTATGTTGGATTATATTAGTGTTTCACTGTATTAGACTGGCATTTTTGTTAGCACAAAGTATACGCCTTGGTGAATAAATTATAATGGGCACCCATGTGTTGTGTAATTCGCGAACAGTAAGAGCTTTTTTACATAATGTTTTGACCGAAATTCATGAACAACAAATAATGTTTTCTTGTGCATTTATCATTTGCTTTGCTAAAAGTTATTCATACACAATCAACTGTGTTTATGATTCTTCCTATGGCAATGTACAAAGCGTGCAGGATGGTACGTATGTATGAAGTGATGTTTTATGGCAAAAAGCTTGTGCAAGGAAATGTTTTCACAAATGGAAGCTGATTAGCTAGCCAATAAATTGTATGAATAGTTTCCAGCAAGGTCCAACCTTTCAGCAGTGGTATTGCGCTCAGTGCGTCTTAGACCGCTAGGCTCGCTAGGCAGAATGCGCAACATTGCATGACCGTTTCTCTACTAATGCCCGTGCATGTATCTCATGTGCGAAGTATCACAGCTACGTATGACGAAATTTCATGAGTGTAAGGTGTGCATACCTAGATAACGTCCTCTTCTAAGCAGTTTTTTGATGAAAAAAGCTTTTATTTTGATTTGCCCGATATGTCAGTATCTGCGTTTTTAGTCGGTTATTGCGTGAAATGCGAGGTTAATAAATGCGGAGATGTTGACAGATGGCCTTACTAACCGTAACCATTGCCACCTTTGTGGCGGAAAGAAAATGAATTTTATGACTTCTTTGTAAACAAATAGCCACAGGCAATACTTATTTTTCCTCAAACTTGTAACGATGGCATGCATGGAGATGAAGTTTGGTAAGCTTATGCATTACCATGACTTCATGAAACTGCAACAAAGAGCCTCCGGCACTTTTATTCCTCACAGCTCAAACTTGTTACCAATTACACACTTGGAATTTATCTGATATTCTTTGATGCACATATGTTTTGCGCCATTCCAATGATATACAAGTAAATAAAAAATTCTTCGAATTAAGAACGTGTTCAATATATGGATGCCATGAAAAGTAAGGAGACAAGACAGGGATGACCTAGTGAACGTGATGCAGTAGTGCAATGGATGATGGCTACATACTTTGAACTGGCATCGCTTGCTCGTGTAAAATTTCCTCCACACAAGCCCTATATTGTCGCGAAGTACGAGTGTGCTCCCTTGTTTGATGCACGGCTATGATTTATTTCATAAGCACATTAGACAGATAGTACCATCTACTCGGTTTTCAGTTGTGACTGCATTGTGTGAAGTCTATGACTTCTACATTTACTTAACTAACCAGTTTTACAATGCTGCGTTCTTGGCCATCTACATACAGAATCCTTTCACCATTGTCCTTGTACTTCACTAAACAAACAGTAAAGGTGGCAACAATATAGGGCTTGTGTGTAGCAAATTTTACACGAGCAAGCGATGTCAGTTCAAGGTATGTAGCCATCATCCATTGTACTACTGCATCATGTTCACTAGGTCATCCCTTACTTTTTATGGCAACCCTATATTCCACACTTTTTTAATTCGAAGATTTTTTTATTTACTTTTCTTTTTTTACTTCAATCACATGAATGGTGTGCATATAAAAAGGGGATATTTTTGGGCATAAGCCCATAAAAAAAAAAGTAACATTAGTGGCCTTAAGCTATCGCCTCAGACGTTTTTTCGTCATTCACATTACATCAGTGCACCAAGTTTCATTGTGAGAGGACCCATTATAAGAAATTTATAAGCACTGACACCATTCGAAAAATATTTTGCCTGAGGCTGTTTGTTGTTGTTTACAACCTTGTAATTTCTGTTTCGATGCCTCGCTGTGAAGTAAGGCATCACTTCTTTTGAAAACTACCCCTTTTCCAAACTGTGCTCAAAAGGAAAAACATGTAACCAAACAAAATTCTATGAGAATAATGTAACAAACAAGAACCAAGTTTCATCTTGGTCGTGCAATTGATGTAATGGGCATGAGTACCAAGTTTGATCTCCATGTATACCAAGTTTGAGGTGTGAAGAAGGAAAGTTCCTCACGCTACTTAAAAAATATGTGACCGTTATGGAAACGAGGTAGCACAAATGTTCATCTATTTGCTGATCACTAAGTACGGTAGTATATAGGGATGACACAGGTCCAACTTTTGACACATCAGGGGACATTACCATAATGCCGAAAGCAATGTTGCTTAATCCGCTATATCCCTCATTCATTAGTTGAGTCCACAACTTGACCAACTTTCCTTGACCAGCAATCATCAACATTTTGATCGTGAACAATCTTGAATATTCTCTTGATACGTCTTCCGGATTGGTAGAAGTAAAACGTCTGGTATGCTCCATGATATTGTATGCTTCTGTTACTTGGATTTAGGAACGAAAAACTCTTGATGATGAACTCTGATTCTGGAAATTGATCTAGCTCTTTCACAGTTGTTAACATGAACTTTACACACTTGGCACGAATCAATTGAAGCTGGTATTCTGCTAAATCGGACTTGTATAGTCATTTCAAATTAACACAATGAAACCTTACTTCGGACCTTTTTACATGATTTTCGATGTTATCAGCTGCACCTGACACGTCTTTCAGCACAGGTGCAGCAAATGCCCTCCTTAATCTTTGAAGTGTGCAATAAGTTTTATACTTAGGGGTCTGTAACTTTAGTTTCATGTCGTCTAACAGAGGAAGAGTGCCACGTAAAAACTCAATATGAGGACGAAATAGGTTGTTTGCCCTAA